ATAGAAGACAGCCTTTCGTACTCGCTATAGCTATTTCGAGTACTTAGTTATACTATTTAGGCTAGCTAATGCCCCTACTACATTCTAGTCCTATATTAATCGGGCCCTATTAGGCCTATTAGATTACCTCTATATAGTTTACCTAGATAACATCCTGGTTTACATACACTTACCTAACATTGCGGAGTACTAGGCTATAGTCCGCAAGGTGCTCGACCGCCTACGAGCCTATAGACTGTATTGTAAGCCTTCTAAATGCACCTTTGCTACTAAGGAGGTGTCCTTCCTTAGCTTCCTCGTGTCAACTAAGGGTGTTAAGGCTAATCCTAACCGGATTAAGACTATTACTAAGTAGCTAACGCCTACTAGTATTAAGGAGCTTCAATTATTCCTAGGTTTTGCTAACTTCTATCGTCGCTTTATTAAGGGCTATTTACGACACGTAATGCCCCTAACTAAGCTTACTAAAACTAAGGCTAACCTAACTAGAGAGTTTAAATAGACTAACAAAACACAAGCCGCTTTTAACGGTCTAAAGCAACGCTTTACTAAAGTCCCCTTATTGCACTATTTTATACTAAGCAAGTAGATCCGTATTAAGACTAACGCTTTACAGTTCGCTATATCGGCTATTATGTTATAGCAATTAGATAAGGACTATTACTAGCACCTAATTGCCTTCTTTTTACGAAAGATAATCGATATAGAGCGTCGCTACGAGACCTATAAGTAAGAGCTCCTAGCTATTGTCGAGGCCTTTAAGCACTAGCGCTACTATCTCGATAGTATATAGCATACTATTTAGGTCTATATAGACTATAACAACCTCCGTGGAATTACGAAGGTTACTAGGGTTATAGGTCGATAGGCTAGATAGGCCGTCTACCTCGCTAGGTTCGATTTTAATATATTATATTAGCTAGGCGTAAGTAACCCTACCGATAGCCTATCGAGGCGACCTAATTACGATAGCGGGACTTAGTAATCTATTAATTTATTGTTTCTAACCCTATAGCATAAGATTGCTATAGCCCGTATTATTAATAAGCAAACGTAGGATAAGCGGACCTCCGGACCCCGCGGCGGTAACAAATACTATAGCGGAGTTGTCGTTCTTCTAGTATACGTTAAAAGAAAGGACGTAGATCGCTCGAGCTATAATAACTCGGTTAAGGACATTGCTATCTATAGTAATAGTCTATATAGCGACAGTACTATAGAAGAGGTTATAGTAGTTCCGGCTACTAGTGCTATTAGATATATATAATGCGTACCTCGTTCGATAGTACGGGTGCTATTAAATAACCTTGTAAATAGGGATAGTTAATCGTTTATAGATAAGCTATTGCGTGCTTAGTAGAGGGACGCCTTTGCTATTAACCGTATTAATAGGCTTATAAGTAGGCGAACGACTCGATCTAGTAAGAGTAATTAGTCGATCGACGACAAAGGTTATTTAAAGTTTAAGGGTAGATACTATATCCCCGCTAAACAATCGATTAGATAAGAGCTTTTAAAGAGGCACTATAATAGTAAGCTCGCTAGTTACTATAGTATAGAGAGGTCGTACGAGCTACTATCGCGTACATACTACTAGCTAAATAGTAAACGGTATATAAAGGAGTATATATAGACCTATATAGTATACTAGCGAGTTAAAGTACCGAAGCACTTACTATTCGGCGAGTTGTCTTCGCTCCCTATTCTAAAGAAGCCATTTACTAAGCTAATAATAGACTTTATTATAGGCCTTCTACCTGCTAGGCGCAGAGGTAGTAAGGACGTATATAATGCTATCCTTATTATAGTAGACCGATTTACTAAGGGCGCCCGATATATCCCGGCGCGGAAAGATTAGACTACTATTAATATAGTAGAGGCGCTATAGAACAATATCTTCTATACCTATTAGGGAACCCCTAAGGGGATAGTGTCTAATCGTAGATCGATACTAATATCGCACTATTAGAGCGAAATATGCCTATAGCTAAGACTAAAGCATCGGCTATTAATAGCCTTCTATCTATAGACTAACGGTTAAATAGAGAGACAGAATACTACCCTATAGCAGTACCTGCGTAGTTATATTAACGAGAACCCTAAGGATTAGGTCAATCTCCTATAGCCTATAGAATTCGTATATAATAACAGTATATACTCATTAACTAAGGTTTTACTATATATAGCTATAATAGGCTAAAACGCTACCTTGCTACAAGATCTATTTACCTCGCTCGAGGCCGAGCGTAAGGAAAGGGAAGCGCGTTAAGTACTAGAAATACTAGCGGCAATAGAACGTATCTAGAAGATGCGAGAAATCTATACTAAGATAGCTAAGAATCTAACAAAGGCTTAAGAGTATTAAAAGGCCTACTACGATAAGCGCTATATACCGATAACCTTCAAACAAGGCGATATAGTTATACTTAGTACGAAGAACCTCCGCATCCGCAAACACCTATTACCTAACGGCAAAATAAGGCCTAAGCTCGTACTAAGATACATTAGCCTATTCCGCATTCGAGAAGCTAAGGGCATACAGGCTTACTAGTTGTAGCTTCTACCTTATTATACTATCTATAACACCTTCTATGTATCCCTCCTTAAGCCGTACTACCTGCGCGAAGGGGATAAAGCACCTACTAAATCCGAGGATATACTAGCTAATAGCGAAGAGCTATAGTCTATAGAACGTATCCTAAAGCATCGGACTAGACAAGGTAAGAAGGAGTACCTACTAAGATAGTAGGGCTATTTACTAGAATAGGACTTATAGGAAGCTAAAGGTTCCTTTAAAGATATAACCGAGTTGTTAGATAAGTATTAGACTAGCGTAAAGAACAAGAAGAAGGCTAAAAGCTTATAATGTTACTATTAAGGCCTAGGATTAATACTACCCCTAGGGTGCTATTAGCTAACTAATTAGCTCTAAGCAATTGTTAGCAATAAGAGACAATAAGACTATACTACTATAGTAAACGCGTACCGAGTGTTAATAAGCGCGCTACGACGCGTTAATTAGTTACTACTCTTTTAAAGACTCTACCTCTTATTCCTTTATTCTACCGAGGCCTCGAGGCCTAGGCAATCGACGAGATACGCGCGCGCGCGTACGAATAACGGTATGTTAGAAGATAGCTAGCGC